ATTATTATTATTATTATTATTATTATTATTATTATTATTATTATTATCCTTCTCATCTTCTCTACTACTCCTTGTTATTGATATCATTGTTATGATTATTACTACTCTGTTGCTTTGCATGTACATTGAGAGCTTTTGCACTGGAAACAATGTCCTTGTGTGTCCAATCGCAGTTGGCCAAATTATTCTATTCTATTCTATTCTATTCTATTCTATTCTATTCTATTCTATTCTATTCTATTCTATTCTATTCTATTCTATTCCATTCTATTCCATTCCATTAAAATATGGATTTTCTTATTTGTAAATGGATGTCACACAAAATAGCTGGTTTTCTAACTCAGAGAACCCCCTTACACAGTTCACAGTTCACAGATCACAGTTGTGTCAGACTGGGTGCGCCTTGTTACAAACTTTGACTGGCATGGGTGAAGATAAGGAATTAAGTTGTTTTGAAGTAAATTTTTCAATAGTTACAAAACCTGATATCCCCCCCAGCTTTGTACTGTCTGTTCTGACCTAGCAGTAGTTTTTTAAGTTCTCAACATTAACCCTGAGTTGTTTTTAACTGGAAAAACTTGGGACTGAACCTGCAAGCAAACCAAATACTGTGTGTAATGCTTTACCCATAAAAGGAGAAGCATGCTCTTGCTCCTGGAAATAGGGCTTATGATACTGTACTGCCACAGCATTTCAAGACAAACGGTGCTGCAGAAATGGCAAAACCTGTGCTTGCTGTGCTGTTATCCCACTTTACCATGCATTCAATCTGCAAACATAATAGTCTGAGCTCAGCCATCTGGCTGTTTAAAAATACCCATGCGGGTAGAGTTGTAGTGTTTTGTAATCAATGATCAGGGGCTTTTGGAAACAAACTCTTCCAGTTTACTAGGACATCAGTTATGTGCCTTTTTTCTAAAAAACAAACAAAAAAAAACACCAGAATTATGAGTATTTTAACCAACTCTGCTAAGTCTCTGTCTTGGGGTTTGAAACATTTTTTTGCTACCAAAGCCAACTGCAGGAAACCACGGGAGCCTTCGAACAAATTTGATGGCTTGCACTACTTCCTCAAAGGAAGGACTGAAGAAGCTAAGAGCCTAATGAGCTGAATTGTTTTATAGCTTTAAAAAATAAACATGTCAATGAGAGATCCACATTGATCCCACCTCATAAAGATATTAGCAAAGCAAAGAGAAGATTTGAAGATGGGGATTCTGATGAGGGTCATGTACTAGAGAAAATAATTCATCCCCCTGTTCATGCCAATAAAAGCTGCCCTTTTTTAGATAGATGCCACATAAGAGGTTTAATGTTTAGGCTTCCACAGAATGCAGACAAATAGAAAAGGCAGAGATACATTGTGATAAAGTGCCAGAGATAAGGAGTTGCTGGCAAAATTGGAGCAGAAAGAGAAGTGGTACTGTAGAGAGAAAATGAGTATGGTTGAGAATTTGGAGGTGTGGTAAAATTCCAAATTTTAGCCAAATTGAGGCTAAAACATATAAAGAGTGGTTGCTGGAACTGGGTATATCTCGTTTGATGAAAAGAAGGACTGGGAGTGACATGATAGCAGTGTTCCAGTATCTCACTCTTTGCTGCCACAAAGAAGAGGGAGTCAAGCTATTCTCCAAAGCACCTGAGGGCAGGACAAGAAGCAATGGGTGGAAACTAATCAAGGAGAGAAGCAACTCAGAACTAAGGAGAAATTTCCTGACAGTTGGAACAATTAATCAGTGGAACAACTTGCCTCCAAGTTGTAAATGCTCCAACACTGGAGGTTTTTAAAGAATAAATTGGATAACCATTTGTGTGAAATAGCATAGGGTTTCCTGCCTAGGCAGGGGGTTGGACTAGAAGACCTCCAAGGTCCCTTCCAACTCTTTTATTCTCTTTTATTATATTGTATTCCCAAGGATGAAGGAAGCAAAGCAGAGGGACTATGGGAGGGAGTTGTTGGGGGAAACTAGGTGAAGTTGAACTTAGAGAGAAATGGCAGACAATGGACTAGCCAGAAAACACAGAGTTAAAATTGTAGCAAAACCCTTTTACACAGTTATACAGTAAGGCCCCTTTTGACCCCATACATGTTTAAAAGTGGTTTGGATGATTTGTATTGCACTTAACATTAACTTCCTCTCTATCCTTTAAAATTGAACTTTTGTCATTAACTGGAGAGCTTGGCCAGGTTCCAGGGATTCCTGACCTTTTGAATCTCCTTCCACAGCTACAGGAGGGAAGAGGGATGTAGGAAAGTTGTATGGGAACTTGAAAGTTTGTTTTATAAACATGCATGGAAGTTTTACATTTGAACTTGGCTTTCATGCTTGCTTTGTTTTTCTTCTCTGTGCAGCCATCCACTGAAGAGAGCCCTGCAAAGCATGTAGATACTCCGGTAAGTTTCTCTCTTGTAGAGTTTGTCATGATCAATGCTTCATTTCTTCTGTTCCATGTCAAAGAGCTCCCCATCTAATTTTCTGCAACTACATTAGTCTTTCTGGCTATGAGAGCTGCCCAAATCCCTGGTTCATATAGCTATTTCAGCCTTTCCTTTGTGTTATCATGTTTCTAACCTATTTAGCAACAAAACTACATCTTATTTTCCAGCTGAACTGAGCGGTGGTGCTGGAAACTGTCCCTAAGGCCTGTCAACAATAGTACAGCTCTTTGGTCTAGCATCAGGAATGAAATATTAGTGCTAAACAATTTGCAAATGATATGACTTAGGAAATGGCAAGTGATATGACTTAGGAAATGGTTTTTCAAACATTGCATTAAAGTCAGCTTAATTGAATCCATCTTAATTTATATACATTTTCACTGTACTCTGACTTGCTTTTCCACTCTTAGGAAATGGAAGATGGAAATAGATTAAAAAAAAAGCAAAACATAAAATATTAAAATCTGATTAAAACAGCCACTAAAATCATGATTAATTTGATGTATTAATTCATTTAATTAACCCAAATGAAATAATCTGTCATTTTGTCTATAAGTCCAAGCTGAAGGGAAAGGTTCTGCCTTCTTTACTAAATTGGGGAATAAGTGTAACTCTCAAAGGAGCTGTTCTTAGTCTGGGAAGAATGCAAGGGGAACCCAGCTTATATAATTTAAACCCAGTTCCAACCTCTCCTAACTGTACTCAAGATTCAGTATATATAAGTTTACTTAAAAACATTACAAGCTGAGTTTATTAACAGTTATGTTCGGAAGAGCCATTTTGAACTGTGTTTCTCATTTTTCCCCAAAATGATTTGGAAAATAGTGTCCTGGATCTTGCATAAACCAGAGCCCTTCACTTCTCTGTTCTTCATTAAAGCAGGCTATTTTTTTTCAGGCTTTCAGACACAATTTTTTTAGGTTGACAGAGAAACTTGAAAAATTATGGGCTGCTTTTATGAAGAGTAGAGAGGTGCTGGGCTCAGGCTTATGCAAGATTCAAGGCATTTTTCCCAAATTATTTTGAAGCATGAACAGTCCTAATTTATTTAGTGAATGTATCCTAAATCCAATGCAGTGGTCTTCATTGAAACAGACTAGAATTGTAACATAAAGTTCTAAATAGAAAATGCCACCACATTGTTTTTCCAATGAAAAACAATAATTCTCACATATTCTGAATGTAATATTCACTGATTTGGGAAGAAATTTAAGGAACTCAGTATGGAGAGCCACACAAACACAGAAAAATCAACATGGACCCCTAGGTCTTACGTGAAACCTAGGTTCACTCTATTACTGCAAGAAAATAAAGCTGTCAATAACAGAATAACAGAGTTGGAAGGGGTCTTGGAAGTCTTCTAGTCCAGCTCCCTGCTCAACCATTCTGGGGTTGTCCAATCTCTGCCTAAAAATCTCCAGTGATGGAGGACCCAAAACTTCTAAAGGTAAGCTGTTCTACTGATTAATTGTTCCCACTGTCAGGAAATTGCTCCTTAGTGTAGATTGGATCTTTCCTTCATAAGTTTTTGTCTGTTACTTCTTCTCTTGCCTTCCAGTGCTTTGGAGATTCTGTTAACACCTTTTCCTTGTGACAGTCCCTAAATATTGGAAGATTGCTATCATGTCATCCCTAGTCCTTCTCTTTGTTAGACTAGACATACCCAGTATTTGCAACCTTTCTTCATATGTTTTGTCCTTCAGTCCCCTAATAACCTTTGTTGATCTTTGTACTTTTTCTAGAGTCTTAGCATCTTTTTTGTATCATGGTGACCAAAACTGAATGGAATATTCCTAGTATGGTCTTATCAGTGGGATATTAAGCAGTATTATCGCTTCTCATGATCTTGATACAGCCCACTGTTGATGTAACTTAGGAATGCATTGGCTTTTTTGGTAGCTGCAGCACACTGCTGGCTCATATTTAAGTGGTTGTCCACTGGGACTCCTATGATCCCTCTCACAGCTACTGCTATTGTGATAGAAGTGAATTGTTGTTCCTATATTTTTTTGGCTTGATAACATTATTCAATTCAGAATTCTGAAAGTGCTTTTTCACTATTGATACCATCAAGTCATTTTTAATTTTTGTTTTTAGCAACCACGTTTTTTCATTCTACATCCTAGAAATATCAACCCTGAAAAAGTCATTGTCAAAATACATTGAAAAATAGTTCCCTAAGCACTTAGCCGCTAGCTAAAAGCTCCTCTGGGTGGTCTAGTTGGATATAGTTTGGTAGGGAAAGGAAATTCACCAAGGTATCTTTTATAACTAGATAAGTGCAAGAAACATTTTTTTCCTAGTTACAGAATTAGCCAGTACAATCTGTGATTTCCTGCTGTAAAGAAGGAAGTATGGAAAGAGAAGAGGCTCAGTCTTTTGAAATATAACATCTGGACCTGTTCTGAGAGGATGGAAATTTCTTGAGAGTCAAGGAGTGTCTGGAAACAAAACTGTTTTTCTTTGAGAAGAAATGAAAAACATCTTGCCTTAAGCCCAATGTCCTTCTTCAAGGACTAGAGTATGAAAAGGCATTCTCTGGGAGAAGAGCTATCCTTGTGCCTGAGAAAAATTATTCATTTATGTAGACAATTTATACAGCTGCTTATTTTAAATACATAATTCTGGGTGGTGAATATTCCATATGAAGCAATATTAAAAAACAAAAAAAAACCAAAAAACCCCTCCACCCCATAAAGAGTTTAAAATACTCCGATATAAGAAAAGACAACTGGGGGCACTATATAGTAATTTGATAAAAATAAAGGCATGTATACAGGTAGCTCCTTGCTTATCAACCATTCGTTCAGCAACCGTTTGAAGTTACGACAATGCTGAAAAAAGGAGACTTGCAACCTTGATGTTCCGGTTCAGTGGTGGGATTCTACCAGGTTTGCTACCGGTTTGGTGATTGCGCACTTTGCGTGTGCAGCTTTTCCAACTCCAGCTGAGGCTCTGCCACGCCGATCAGCTGAGAGGATACAGAACCGAAAAGCGAAGGGGGTGGGGTGGTGAGGTGGGAGGGGCGATCTTGCGCTTTTCTCCCCTTTCTCCTCTCAGCTGATCATCAGAGCTCTGTTTTACTACCGGTTTGGCTGAACCGGTAGCATTTCACCACTGTTCTGGTTGCCCAAGAACTCCTGCAGTCTTGTGATTGTGATCTGGGGGACTTGGCAACTGCCTTGCCCTCAGGATCCCCATTTGCAACCTCCCCTCACAAGCAAAGTCAATTGGGACACCAGCTGGGAAGGTGGCAAGTCCCTTTGGTCAGTCTCTCGCACCTTCCCCTAACCAGTCTTGCTGTGCTGTGCCTTACCTGCCTGCTGTACTGCTTGCAAAGCTGCCTGGGACTTGCTTAATGATCCACAATCCTTACTTAACAGCAGTGATGGGGATTGATGCTGCTAAGTGATGTGATCATGTGACATCTCAACCTTATGACCCCATTGCTTAGCAGTGGAAATTCTGGTCCCAATTACTATAGTTAACTGAGGACTATCCTGCACTGTGTTCTTTACACATTCTGACTGTAATGCTTGTTTGGGGGGGGGGAGCTGGATTTTAGCAGCTTTCCAGATATCCAGGAGGGTTCTGACTTAGACCTTCACCTAAAGGCTTCCCAGATTGGTAGATTAGGTCAGCAGAACTCTTGCATTACTGCTGTCTGTTCTTGTGGGATGTTATGTTTTTGCCACTCTGGATAAGCATATCTAATCATTTGCAGTTGTCTTGGTATCACAGGACCTTTGATTGCATCAGTTGGGGAAGGAGATGAGTTGGCTGCTATAGCTCATGAGATTCCTTTTTTCTTTTCTTGGCAATCTATCCAAATGTTTAACAATTGAAGAAGCTAAAACGAAATCATGTGGATGTGAACTGGGTAGGGCTTCTGTGTGCTCTGGAAAATAAAAATTCTCTGGCACTGATTCATATATATATATATATTCGTAGATTTTCACGGGTACAGGTATGTAGGTCTAGGTGTGTTCGGGTCTTTTCCCGTGTAAGATTAAGAGCATCTTGGCGACGTTTTGGTGAGGTCCCACTCGCCATCCTCAGGCTGGTGCTTTTGGCTTTGTGCCAGTGCA